TGCTCTAAGTTCCTGTCACTTAGGACCCCAACTCCACTATTTTGCACTGTCAAGAAAGAAGACTAATGTTACTTTAATTAATAGTGCCTCCAACATCATGCTTGGAGACCATCCATGTAACAGATAGCTTGAATGTACTGTATTTTTAATCCAATACTAGTCTTTGACCAGAAGGGAATTATTACCCTCAACATAGAGCAATTTCACCATGGTGGACCTATCCCTCTGTAAAACTTGATCCACTGAGCAGTCCTGAGGTGCAGAATGCTCTCACTTTTTATGTGATTTATGCCTGGTTGTGGTCTAAACTTTGCAGGGTTGGTCTTTTAATTTATGGGAGAATATGGCCTGCAGGCTGAGAGAAACAATTAAGTAACTAGATGGAAAATGGTGGCAAACAGAGGTGGCTTCCTGAAAAGGATGAGTCTGTCAATTTAACAGAAAAACAAAACCCCACTGCTTCCACTCTCTTACTAGGATTATGGTTCAGCTGCTTTGGCCTTAGCAGCAGTCCACATGGAGCTCCCTCCCAGCTGCCACATCACATCTCATTCACTTCTGCATTGTGTCTTTGCTCTCACTGACAGAACAGTCAACTCAGAGAATTTCCTTTGCTGCTACCTGATATACCATTATTCACCTCTTATCATTTTAGCAAAGCAGTTACGCTGCAGTTATGCTGTCAGAGGTAATGGAGACCATGCCACTAAGAAAACTGGCTGTAATTTATTTATCAATTGTTTCTGCACACCACAAAAGAGACCATCTACTTTACAGCTGGGTCTAAGGTATCTGAGAGCCCTTGAAGTTCATGGTTTTCCGGTATTCTAAGTTCTACTTATGGCTTTTCCTGTATATGACACACAACACCACCCCTGTGGTCTTCAAGGCCGATTTCTTCTTTGCTTTCTTTAGTCACAAATCATTCTGAGGCATCCCTTAAGTGCATTTGTATTGTTAAGTGCACCGGCCTGATTTGGTGTTAATTCAATTTGAGTGCCCTTAATATCTTGCGGGAGTGAGGCAATGCATGTGAGCTATACCTTGTAAAAACAGGTTCCAGGTCTGCCTGAGAGCAAAGCACCTTTCCCACAGCAATTTACCAAAGTTGCTGATAAAATTTTCATAAGGAAACCTTTTTAGTCTGACCCTATTGTGTTATGCTACCATTAAGAGTCAGGGAACTGAGACTGTATTCTGGTGACAGTTTATCACATTCTCCATTGTTTTAGTGTATAGACAGCCTACTGATGGGTCACAGCCTACATCCCTTCCTCTTACAATGTGGAAACGGCTTTCAGAGCCAGAGCGCGGAGGCCTGAGCATGCCAGTTGCAACATGTATGTGTCAATATAACTGAAGTGAACTCTAGATAAACCAGTCACCTCTAACCTTCAAATGATGGGAGATGGGACATTTTAGTGCATTTGGGGCCAAACAAAGAGAGGGAAAAGCAGAAATAAACTGTAGGAATAGTTAGCCCTAAGGAACAAGTGGAAGAAACAATATCACATTTTGATTAAAGGAAAGGTATTTGACTAACAATCAAAGATGAGAAGCCAGTTTTTAAGTAATTGGGGTAAGCAAATGCTATCTTCATACACGAGGACTAATTTTGCTCTCAGATGAGTGACTGTAAATCCTAAACAACTCCAATGTTAACTGAAAAAGTCTATGTTATAAAGGTGATCCAGTGTATAATACCAAAAAGAAGTACCCACCTGCCTGCCAAATTGCCTCTCTACACTACTGTCACCCCCAGAGTTTGGAGAGCAGGGAGCTGCAGCAAGGGAGTCAGAATGAAGTGTTTAGCTGCTGCGCATGTGATGTTCCAGAATCTCTATGTTCTGTCATGCTGTGTGAACACATTTTTTTACTTGTTATAGAAAGCATAATCAACCTAGTCTGCATGCCATCTGAAGTTCTGGACACATGTCTTCTGAATTGCTATCTGGCATTTTGAAGCAAAACTGAGAAGAACAAGTAGGTTATGAAAGACAGCAGAGTGAGAAGGAGAAAGAAAGTAAAAGAGAAGGAATGAGGAAGAGGAAGAGGAAGAAAGAAAAAGAAACTAAGAGAGAGGTGAAGAAAGTTGAAGAAAGGAAAAGAAAGAAAGAGAAAGAAAGGAAGAAAAAAGAGAAATAAAAGAAAGAAAGAAAGAAAGAAAGAAAGAAAGAAAGAAAGAAAGAAAAGAAAGAAAGAAAGAAAGAAAGAAAGAAAGAAAGAAAGAAAGAAAGAAAGAAAGAAAAGAAAGAAAGAAAGAAGAAAGAAAAAGAAAGAAAGGAAGGAAGAAAGAAAAGATGGAAATGACCTCAGTGTTTTACACTGAATTTAACGGGAGCTGAAATGGAGGTTTGGGAGCTTAGCCAGTGTGGCACGGCTGTTCAGCACAGGTAACTAAATACTGAAGCTGGATGGCTTGATTATAAGGAGAATCTTCTGTAACCTAGCACACAATGGTAAATTTGTTGCACTCGAAATTGCCTTTGGGAGTCTTGCCCTCCCTACCAGCACGACTTACTGTCAGTTGCTGGTGGGCGAAAGCCTTGATCCTGCGTCCCATGGAAGGCAATGGGAGCACTGCCTTTGACATCAATGAGTGCTGGATCACACCCCAGGTGAAAAACAATAGCTTTGCTTCTAGTCAGGCCAAATTGATGAATAAATCAGAGCCTTGCATGTGTGGAGTCAGGGCTGGTTGAGAGTGTCTCTTGCAGAGGCATTTTACGGTCCAAGTATGTGTGACCAAGGCAATCTGATTAATTATTGGATAAAGCTTGAGGCAGGCACAGAGTTACAGATACCAGCTACAGAACTGTGATACAGAGGAATTTATAATACCTTTGACAATCAGCCTCTTGATCTTCAGGGGTATTCAAGGAAGATGGAGATAAGGCAATTCTTTCTGTGTGTTTTCAATACGGGAAGAAAAAGAGACAGCAAATACTTATAGTTGTTTCTCTCTCTGGCACTCAGTATTATGGTCTAACATTGTGCTCTACTTCCAATTATTTTTGAAGAAGTATGTAAGTTCTCAGGAAAGAGAACTGAGTGCATTTAATGTTGTGTACATCCCCTCCACCAAATCACAAAGCTTGAACTGTGGCACTGTTAGGTGTTTGCAAACTGCCCTGCAGCATATAAACAAGACAGAAGCTGCAAAGGGCAGGGTAAACATCACCATAGACCTTGGGTGTCCGTGGCCAGTCCTGCTTTGTCACCATGCACCGTCGAGGTCAGTGGCAAGGCTTGTACTGCAGGGTGCTGTAGAAATATTGGGCCATCTGAGGAAAGTTCTTGCAACCTTGATTCAGCCTCAGCTGTTTTGTTCTAGGCTGGGTCTGTGTTGGCCCTTTGAGTGACCAAGTCTCCTCACAGTTTTTCCTGAGTTCTGCATAATACCCTGTGACAAATTTTTGAGGGTGGAGGGAATATTGGCTGACATAGCTTTCCTATTCAAAACACTGGGAAAATATATCCTTATTTATATTTATTTAAGTAACAGAGGTGGGTACAGAGTGTTAGTGATTTCAGAAAGAGGAGTTCACCAGGATGTTCTGGATCACCTCCTGCCATCTATGTCTCTTTGAACTCCAGTGAGCTGAAGCGGCTAAGAAGAGAGGGGTCACGAAGGTGAAGGGGCAGGTGATATGCCACAGCACAGCAGGGCCAAAACCAGGTGGACCTTCAAGATGCATAGGTAAATCCCACAACAACATCTGCAGCAGCTGCCCCAGACACTGTGAGTGAATGGGTTAGGAGGCCCTTTCTGATGGATCAGCAGTAGGTCAAAGAAAGGCACAGAGGAAGAGTCATAGTTTCACTCACTTTCTCTCACACTATAAGGCAATTTTAAGGACTGAAAAGGTTGTAGTTATTGCAGTAGGTTCTGGGTTTTTTAAGAATTAATGGGTGAAGATTATTTGCAGTGAATTTCAGGGGAGGAAAGTCTGCGCTGGCAGCATTTGTGCTACCCTTCAAACAATAGAGAGGGAAGGCTATGTGAGAGATGGGACATGGTGCTGTGCTCTGGAGTCTTCCAGCATTGTTTTGCTTCCATCTAAGGATAAATAAATGCCTCTGTGTATGGTGCTTTGAGAGAGAAAACTCCAGCTCAATCAGGGAAATAGTCTTTGACTTCCTAATCCAGTGAGAGATGGAAATGCTCTTCTCTCTCCTTTCCTCTTCATTAGTTTATGTACATCAGCTCTCATCATGTTTACCTGCGAAGAAGTGGTTTCAGTATGACTGCTATCTTTGTAGCTTTTTCTATAAACACTTCAAGCCCCATTGTATAACTTAGATGGAAGCTAAATAAGCACTCAAATGAAACAAAAACCCTCAGGAGATCTTGCTGCCAGGACATAAGTTGTGCAGTCAGGAGAAAAATAGCCAAAGTAAGAAGCTATGGGCCATGCCTCTCGCTAACAGAGACACGGGTGTTTCCCTTGACTATTTGGAAATAAGGCCTGAGCCAAGCCCTCTCCACATGGCTTCAAGTGGGAATGCATCTTATTGCTCAAGACGCTAAAAAATGTGAGTGATTTACACACTTCTAAACCTACTCTGCACTTCCACCGTTAATCATACATAATCCACAACAATGTCACTCTCTTTGTGCACCATGATGGAAGTATCTGTGTATCATATATTCAAATTACTTTGTGTGCTTGAGGGAGTTTTTGGTCCCCTGAACACTTCTGTGGCAGCACGGTTTGCAGGCTCCACACACTACCTGTGAACCATCTACTGTGTATGTGACTACAAGCTTGAATCCCTGCCTGGGATTATCTGAAAACTCTGGAACTTGCCAGTAGGAAAATTTACAGCTAAACAATTATATTGTTGAAACTCTGACAAATCCATCCAGTTTATGACTTTGAAACTAGGGCTAGGTGTGAGCAACTGAATATATTATACACCGTAGCATGGCCTCCTGGGGGCTGCAATATAGAATCTGTTTACTTTGACTGACACTTTTTATTTTTCTTTTCTTCCAGACATTATTGCTGCAAATGATATCTCTGCTCAATATGGATTTGTTCCTCAAAAAACTGTTTAGATATTTGGATAAACATCTTCTGAACAAGTTCTTCTATTATTACTATGACGATTTTTTGAAGCAATCCAGCGATAATGCAACAGACAGACAACACAATGAGTAAAAGCAAGCAGACCTGCATTATATTGGTACATCAGATTACATGGAGGTGGGATTTCCAGAACTTTTCTCTCCAATGTAAAGTAGTTCTAAAAACTGCAAATATGGACACCAAGGAGAGCAGATTTATTTTCTCTCCATCACTTTTCTGTAAACAGAAGTTTAACACCCCCCCCCAATAAACTGGTGACTTCTTGCCAAGGGTGAAATAAATCTCATTCAAGCACAGAATGGCATTTGTTCTACTTAGACCCCCCATAAGCAGGCAGAGACATTCTTGCAAACTACAACTACTCAAAAAAGGGAAGATTTGTTGTTAAAGTCAATGACAGTACTTCCAGATAGAATCAGCACTGGGTAATGCAGAGTGGCAGCATTTTTTTTTCCTGCTATACTGCAACCAGAAATTGGAAATTTATTGCAATTTTCCAGTTCTTTCAGAAATTCCAGCATTTCTGATGTTGAATGCCAGAACAGGTGGCAATGACTGCTGACTATGTTGTACACTGGTACATTAACCTGAAGAGTGATTTTTTTTCCCCTAGTTCTATAGGAGAAAAAGCAGAAGAGCAAAATTTTTTTTCCAGACCATTCCCTGATTGACAAATAAATCATTCTTCATCTCACTCAGGCAGGACCAAAGAGCACCTTTTAGATAAAGAGATGGCTGAGAGATGGCAGTTTTATCAGTGTGGGCTTGAGTTGTAAAACACAAAGTATATCTTTTAAGTATAATTTTGTGAACAGAAAAAGTATATTTTGGTCTGATGCATGAATCTTTTATCTACCTTACTCCTGCCATTTGTATTTCCTGCCATTTGGGAATATCCCAAACGGTCTCTGCTGCTCTCTTTGTTGTTTTATAGTTCTTTTTGTACAGCAGCCAATGCTAACATTTCTTTCTGAGTGTGAAAGTTGCTTATGGTTTTGATGTACCTGTACTGTACAGTACTTGCCAAGTACTCGGGCTGGACACTGTGCTTTCCGAGATCATTAAAAAGAAAATTCCACCTTGTTCACGTTGAGGAGGTATAATTTCTGTGTTGAGTTCTTGCAGGACATGAGAAATGCAGAAGAGCTGCTCTCACAATAAACTTCAATTTTTCTAGTGCCTTCATGACTACCAGTAATGACCCTTGCTGTGCAGCACATGGGGAAACAGGAATGCTGCACAGGAAACTGGGCTCTGTCTAGACACTGCAAAACCTGCTATGATTGTTTCAGAAGATGCTTAGAGTGGATCTCAGGGAAGTTTCGGCTCTCCCTGCTTACTCTGCTGTGGTGTAGCTCTTGCTCTGGTATGGAAAGCAGGGGTGACACAGACCGATTTACTTTTTACTTTTCTTCCTGCTTTAGCTCCCCATGTGTGGCCAAGTACCAGCAGTGTACTCTGATCTGAGAGGATGTAGCCATAGGGCTGAGGGTGCTGCTCTGTACAAGTACCTGGCACTCTGCTTCTGGATTAAGAGATGTTTCCAGTCCTTCATTGTTATGCCCCTGTGGAACTTCTCCCACTTGGAGGGAATCCCAAGAATTTATATTATGGCAGCACTGGTAAAAATGCATCACATACGAAAGCTCACATTTCTTTATTTCCCTGGATTTATGTTGTTTATTTATGTTTTGTGATGTAAATGGGACTAGGTGTTTAGGAAATATATTGCGTCTTGTAACTAAAAATATATAAGCATGTCATGTACACATCACATTTTCACCTTTCTTAGAGATCATAAAACCACTCAATGATCTTTTCGTGCAATGTCTTCAATATATTTATTGCCACATGAGAATTTTCAAGGCTGGTCATGCATTCAGAGCTGTCCCTACCAGTGATCAGTTTGTGTTAAATCTGGCTGATGCTTTGCTGAGGATTGAAAAGAAAAAGACACTAAGCAGTTCCTGTGGCAGAAGTGGCTTCCTATTTTTGGCTTAAAGCTTGAGTAAACTGAAGCACAGGCTTTCCAGTAAAGGACAGTTTCACCTGAAGATATTCTACTGTCTCAGCAAGTACTCTGCACTCCAAGCAACACTGTAAGCATGACAGATAATTTACTTCATACTGGAAAGAAACGTAAAGTTGTAGGGGAACTGAGTACACTTGCCTGCAGAAGAGAAGTATATTGTTTGCTGGCTGACATTGATAGTCATTTACTTAGGGCTTTCCCTGGAATTTTGAGGTTGGGAAAAAGTGAGGGTACTCGGCTGAAAAAAGAGACAAGTATTCTCAGCTATTCCCAACTTGCGACCACCTCAGATTCTCTACCATTCTTTCTTTTCCAAACTTCAAGCAGCAGAAGGAGGGAAGATGGAATTAGGGACTGTATGTAATTATAATTTATCCTGCCTCCATCTCCCACAACCCACAGAAGCTCCGGCTTCATGAGTGAGTTGAATCAAAGAGGGGCCCAGTCATCAGTGTCTGGTCATTTTGAATCTTGTGTATGTACTTTATGGCAACAGCTAGCAGCAGATATGGTGTGGTGATTTGCTAAGGGTGTCCATGAATAGTGTCTTGTTTTCAATGTGATCCTGAGCAAGAGGCTATGGAGAATCTACCTAAGACCTAGACAGTATTTAAAACCTGCCATTCACCTCAGAAAGCCCCTCCTCACTTTGACATCCCATGTCAGCTCCTTAAATCAAACCCCTCAGACTCAGGAATGGAGTAAATAAATTATAAGCTTTATTGATTTTGTCTGCAGTGTGAACATTCTTTAGCACTGACTAAGCCATTCAAACCGTTGTCCCAACATGGATCAGGCTCCCTGTAAAACCCAAAATGGCTACTCATAAGGGAACAGAAATGTTTTCTTTCATTTATCCAAGGTTCTGTCAGGGAGGGTTTTGATCTCTATAACTTTACAACATCCATATGGTCAGGAATGAATTAGCTGGCTCCTTTCAGTGGGATACGGGATCAGAGTTTTAGATTAGACAGAAGCCCACTGTGATATAGTTTTTTTGTTGTTTGTTTGTTTGTTTTTTTAAATTAATATCAGTGAATTTCTCATGAGTTTTGGAACCATGGACCCAGTTTGTCTCTCACTTGGCCCGTTCTCCCGTCTGTATGACTCTGTTGACTTCAGCTAAATCACTGGTATAAATGCATCTCAGACTTCTCTTCCAACTAATGGACATAGTGCTGGTGGTTGCTGGTTAGGGGTTATTTTGGGGGAAGGGATTGTTTTTGCTTCTGCTTTAAAGCAAGGAGGTGTGGTACATCACAGGCATCTTTCTTGGGATGGAGATAATAAATCACTCTTCCCAGGTGAAATCTTTTATTTATGCCTTGGGATTCCATTTCATTGAGGAAAGGTATGTTCTTTTGGCTTCAGCGAGGCTGCACTTTAGCAAGTGATTCAAATCAAGCTGACACTTATTAGTGAGCATGTTGAACACTTTGCTCTCAGGCACTTCGCTGGGCTGCCACCATTTTCCATTCTTCACAGATGTTTGTTCTCCTCAGGTTTCATCTGGAAGCAAAATCACTGCCTGTTCCTCATGTCAGTGGGAAGTCAACTGCAAAGGGCAGCTTGATTTTAGAGACAATGGATCACTCCCACCAGGAAAAAAAAAAGAACCAAATAGAAGGGGAGATGAAATAATACACTCACAGATCAGCTTGAGTTCATTCTTCTGGTCTGAAAGTGACCAAGCAAACCTCTTATTATCATTTAGTAGGTGTTGAGCCCTGTCACCACACTCAGTGTTGCACAGTACACATTCAATAGTAGTGGCTCCAAAGAGAGCATCAGCAATATCATACAGACAGTAAATTATTTAATTGTAAAGCACCAACTCTTATTGCAAGCTGGTGTTTATTTGAAAAAAAGAAATCAGAACCAAATCTTGAACAAAAAAAAAAAAATAGTTACACAGATAAGTAGTTCCAGATGCTGTCCTTTCTCCAGGCCAGGAATACTCTAAGTTAATCCCTACACACGCCATTCTTAAATTTTCTTTTCACTGCATAGACTTGTGTACCACCCTGAGAAAGCATGATTCAGAGGCAAGAGCCTACAACTAAGTCCTGCTGCCAGGGAAGAAGGAAGCAATGGCAGAAGCTCATTTACATAGCGTCTTGGTTAAATTTAGGTTTATTTGTGTCTAGAAAGAGGTTTAACATCTCAACTTACCAGATCACAGATAAGTGTGATGTACTTGCCACAGAAATAAAAAGAGGCAGCAGATGTAGAGAGCTGGTAAACTTTAGAAGACATCTGGAACTTCTGCCCAGATTGGAGGTTCTGGGGGTATAGGGCATTTCTGCATGCAGACTACATGTCACAACAGAGGGGTGGTTCCTGCCAGGTATAGCAACCTACATGGGTCCAGGTGACCCTGTAAGATGTCTGGGAATTCTGAGCCCTTCTGGCAAAGGCAGGAGTGTGTGGTCCAAGCTGATAAGGCAGGGACACATTGCACTGACCATTTCTTACTGCACAAAACTTAGCTTCCTGCTTGCTTTGTAACCTTACATAAACAGCAGAAAGGAACTGCAGAAAAATGGAGGCTACCTATTACAAAGACCTGACTATTTTCTTAATTCACTATACTTTGTGGCCGTCATGGGACCCTTCCTACACCAAACAGGGGAGGCAGCTTGCTGTTTCTAAAATGAAAACTTTGGCATCACTGTTGAAAACAGAATGCCTATAGTAAGGAAACAAACACTACTTATAGGATGAGTTAGTGTGTGCTGGAGTTTGAAGGCTCAAGTCATATTTATACACAAAGAGGGACTATGTGAAACGCATGACCTGGAAAGGTGACTCTGCCATTTAAGCAGTTATGCGTGGCTAATAAGCAATGGAGGAAAAAAGTCCCCTTTAAAAAAACAGGTTCTTTTCATTTAACATTATAATAATCATAAAAAGGAAACCAAACCTGCAACGGCAATGATAGTGTGTTTGTATTTCTTCCTTTCCTTAAACATTTTACTGTATTCCAATACATCCAATGTCTGTCAAATATGCCAGGTGTTTTAAGACATTAATGTATCTA